AATTAGTCCACTGGTGTTCTTGTTTTGATTAAGCAAACTGTTTTACCTGATGATCTCTCTCAATTGATTTGATGGAATGCTGACCATTTATATCGAATAGGCCCGATGCATTAGATAGATTTTACCATTTTTTTTTATCAATATAATCCCTGGGAAGCTCCTTCTTTCTTAAACCAGATTTACTTGTATTTGAGACTTATTGGCGTTTAGTCAGTGAAGCTGAAAACTGTTTAAAGATGTTGCTTTCGCGTGCCCTAAATGTAATGCTTTCAATACCTATAAGAAAACTGTTTAAAGATGTTGCTTTCGCGTGCCCTAAATGTAATGCTTTCAATACCTATAATATAGAACCACAAGCCGCTTAATTGAATCTCTTTGAATTTTATAATTTTTATGGACTTTTGCTAAGATACATTCTTTTCATGACTGGGACAAAGTAGAGAGATTCTTTCAAGACATAATGAAGAGATAGACTGTTTTAATCGAGGAGGGAATGTGTTGTATGTAGCCGGGGCACTTATCACTGAATATCCACTAATATTGCCATATGTTAAGGAAGTGGTTGGAACGACAGATAGTGTGACGGACCGCCAAATGCCAATTGCTCTCTACGGAGGAACTGATGAAGGAAGTTTTGTACAATGTATGCCTTGAGTTCTCTGGGTAGCCAGCCTTAGTCGTTTTAATTTCATGTTGTGACAATAGTTGAGATCTCAATTCCTACGTTCATGTTCTTGAACTTTTGAATGTTGACAAGATTATAAGATCGTTATTTGGGTTTTTTTTAAAAAAGAAAACCTTTTTGCTTAGCGTTCCTTGCAAAAATTTACCAAAGATGATGGACTTCTAGTTATTTTACTGAACTTCGAATGGTGGACATTCAATAATTTTATTGACTTTGAGTGATGGACATCCATTTCTTTGTTGAAAATTTATCTCAAAACTTTCTTGAATTTTTTAAATTTTTATATTTTGTTCCTAATCAGGAATAAATGGTTAAATGGCAATAATGTAACATGATTGTTCCTATAGAATATCTAAGTATCAAAAATCAAATTATCAATTTTCAAAGAAACCATACAATTCTAAGAAAATGAACCGATATGTTAGTATCTCTTGAGCTTTTAAGGATCACCAATTGTGAATGCAAAATACTAGGCTATCCCTGTCCAGCAGCAGGGAAAGTTACCATATACTTTGATGCTGGCATCTCGCATTGGAACAGGATTGTTGGTCTGGGAATATATATTGCAAAACCCTGATGGTGGTTTTCGCAATGCATTTGCTTCCCATGTATGCAACATTTCCGATTCAGATTTGGCCGAACTACTGGCATTAAGAGAAGCATTGAGAACAGCCCAACGTTTGTGCCTTACCGACTTTCAGATTGTCGGTGACTCCCTCAACATGATCCTGGTTGGTCGTGACGAAGTTGAAGGTCCATCCGCAGCAGCTCCGGTTATCCAAGATATTAAACATCTCTTACGAAGTCTCTCCAATCCTAATTTGTTTTGGATTAGCCGTTTGGAGAATGGTTTAGCTCATGAAATTGCTTTTTATGCAAAATCTTGTAAAACGCGGGACATTCTCTGGTCGTCGCCCCAGATTGATTATGGTTCAGTGCTGGCTGATTCCAACTTTGTTATAATATTCCCTTAAAAAAAAAAAGTTGCACAAGGTGCAGCTCCTCACCCTAGTAACTCAATAATTTCTTCCACTTTGTTGACATTTCGTTTACGTTGACTTTTCTAATACAAACAAGCACGTACGAAAATTAAAATTATAATAGTTTTAAGTAAATAATAATCTCTAAAAATTCTAACATATTATTTTAAAAAATGAAATTGATTGATTACTTCATTATATTAATGTTATAGAAAATACTAAAAATGATACTCCTACAAAACTATGTTGCAAAGAAATCGAAAAAGTTGATGTTGACAATTTCGACCAAAATAAATAAATTTTCCCGTAATCTTTACATTAATGTCGATAAATCAATGAATATTTCATAACAGCAAACTTTTCAATAGACTTTGAAAAAAAAAAAATTCAATAGTTACCTTTTTTAAATATATTTTTGTATCACTCCTAAAATTTTTATTCGAATTACGAATACTAGCAAATGCTCTATTACAAATAAGGACAAAATGCACTTTTCGTCCCACACCTTTTAAGCGTAGCATGATCGAATCACCATGAATTTTCGATTAGCAAAAACAGTCCCTTAAAATATTTTTCTCATTAATTTTAGTCAATTTAACAGAATTTTTAAAGACTTAACGGTCAAACATTTTTTCCGTTAAGTATTTAATTTTTTATTATTTTTTACTGATATTGGGCCCCACTAGTTTGACCCAACAAAAAAAAATTTAAATTTCTTTTAATTTAAAATTTAATATAATTAAAAAAAAATCAAAACATTAGGACTTGATTCGTAGTCTTTTTGAGCTCTGGAGGTCAATTCGACAAATGACAAATTAGTTTCTTTCAAGATTCGAAACCCAGATGGCCTTTTTGCAATAAGTTTTTAAACCTCCAACGTAAAATCGGCTCATAAATCTTCTTCCTCTCTTCGCAGGAAAAAAAACACAGATCCCCGCCGCCACCGTCCGCCACGGCCACCGCCGACTATTAGTAAGATACGGAGAATTTAGGTAATAAGCTGATTATCTTCTTAGCAAGTGATAAAGTGGCTGATTATCAGAAAATAGAATTTGAAAACCCTATCACCACATCAATCTCCACCTCAATCAAAATCAACCCACTAACCAACACAAATCTCAACTATATTTTCACCAATAAAACACAATGGCAAGGACAGTTGTGGCGGCTCCAACAGGGAAAGAAAATAGGCACATGAGAGCATCTCGGTCCCCTTTATTCTCCATTCCATAGATGTCATAATCCAAATCCAAAATTGTTGCCGAAGCCGACCTCAATGCGGCTGGCAATCAATCTTTACTGATCTTTTTGTGAACACCCATAACCACAGTCTCGGAAAATCCTCGGCAAAGAGCAGTCGAATTCACTTAATCCAATGTATTTAAGAATTTGAATATGAGTTTGGTTAGATGGGGGAGGAGGTGAGAGATGAACGGAGTAGCAGTCAGGGATTTGGATTAGAAGACTGAACTTGGATTTTTGGTCGGGTTTGGGGTAGGTTTTTAAGTCATTTTATGTGTATTACTATTTGACTTTCAAGTCAAAGGAGTCAAAGGGAGGATCTTGATATTTCTTGTACCTTGAGGGTATTTTTGATAATGAACTGAACCTCGGGGGTGTTTTTGATATTCGTCCAAAATAAAAAATCAAACGCGGGGCCCCACTATTCAGTAAGTAAATTAATTTCAAAAAAAAAAAAAAGAACGAATGAATTGGACTGTTAATTTTTTGAAAATTCTGTTAAATCGACTACAATTGATGAAAAAATATTTTAAGAGACCCCTGCGAACCACAGCAAAATCGCTTCAACTCTGCGCTGATTTTCTTCAACTTCTTTTGCCACACTTCACAAAATTCTCGCATTTTCTTGAACCAAACTCGTAAATTTGTCTAGGGCAACAGCAAACACAGCATCAGACATGTTTGTAACTCTGGACCTTGATCGAGTTCAAAGTAACGAATTATGTTAGCTTTTAATGGAATTTATGTGATTGCTGCATAGATGGAGAAGAGTTCTCACTCAAAAAACACTATACCTAAAATGGAAAATGCTGAAGTAGTCCGCTTTCAACCTTCTTGGTCACTAACAGTATTCAATTGAAGTTCAATATAAGCAGGCACAACGAAGACAATAAAAATGTAAACGTTTAATGACTAATGTGACGAACATGAAGATGTATAAACATCATTATAATCATTCTTTTTCCTCTATTCTGTATGATTACTACTTGACCGAGTAACCAAACTACAGGAGCTTAATTTAGCAAGATAGTTATTTTCAAGATGGACTCATAGGATCCTTCATGTGATCTTGTCTAAAATCTAAATGGTCTGCTACAAGTTGTAGTGGGTTTGATGTGACTTTAGTTTGCCCAAAACCACACAGGTTAGGTACTCCTGTCCGTCCAAGAAAACAATACACTTTGTTGGAATGAAAGGACTACTGACTAATGAGTTTCAAAGACGATAATCATATCATTATACAGATCTTGGCCTATTCTCAAATTAACACTCACTCAGTCCAAAAAAAATAATCAGCATTGAATTTTAAGATTAGTACTAGTTTTAGGGCAAATTTGAAAACTCGGACTATTTTTTTAAAATGGAAGGAATACTATGTTGTAAGTAAAACTATATAAATAATAAATCCTATTAGGAGATGAAAAAAAAAACAGAAATATAAATGTTGTTTCCTGTGATCGTCTAACTATAACGAAATTCATTCTTTTAAATTGCTTGTTCATAATAGTATTTTTATTTTGTCGATGGCTCGACAAAATTGACTATTATAATAAGATCGAAGCAGAAATAATTCGACAAAATGAACTATAAAGGAGTCACAGGGCATCCATGAGTATTTTGTTTCCGAAATATCTTCGTGATGTGATGATAAAACAATTGAAAAAACAAGAGAGAAAGAGAACCATTTGGCTACAGCAAATGAATGTTCATCGAATCCAGCCATGTGAGGCTCACAATCAAAAATCCCAACCTATCTGGGTAGGATTCATTTGCAAAACAATGGTCCCAAAAAGCTATCCATGAAAATTGGCACACTTCACCAAATTCAATCTTTTAAAAAGACATATTCCATTTGGCATATTTTTCCTCCCAGGAAGCACAGTACATATTGTTATCAGTAAGTTGGTATTCCCTCCGCCCCCGAGAAAGAATTTACTTTCCGTCCCGAAATCATTGTTCAGTTTAGATTTTATTTTTAGTTCAAAATATACTCATAGTGAAATTTCAAATTAGACAATAATTTTGAAACGACAAAAATATGATAAACATGGTTCTCGGCTTTTTGGGACGGAGGGCGTAGATTCATCTCATGAAGTTTCATTACGTTCAAAAACTCGAGCTACTTAATTTGATGCCTCTCCTTCAACATAGCGCATACACATATATATAGAGACAGAGCCTTGTGAAAGAGCATAAAGCTTTTGAAAGAAAATGGATGATCATTTATCATTATTCAAGAAAGAGGAGAGAAAACACAGACAAATATGCACATGGCAATTTGAGAAAAAGACCAAAAATCCATTACTGGCTTTTTGCCCATCTTTTTCACAATTTGACAAAACATAAGGATCTCACTCATTCACTCCCCAATTCCCTTTTCTTTTTTTTATTTAGATGCAACCATTTCATCCTATCTCAATTCATGCCCCAAAATTTGTTCCATCTAAAACATGTCTTCATCATCATCATATTCATAATAAACGAGAAGCCTTTCCTGCACCTAAGATCATACCCTTCTACATCTTTTACTACTACAATCCCTCTTTAAAATACAATTTTTTTGGAAGAATCAATTCACCTTAACAAAACTTTAGTTTATAGAACATCCATCAGGGCTCCCTTCAATAATCTGCACAAGGGTGAAACAGCCACAGAAACAGAATGTGAATAAAGGGATACAAGATTTAAGCAATCATACTCATAATCATAATCAATCCATGGAGGAGGGAAAAGAAGGGGATTGATAACTAAAATACTAAACTCACCATCATGTTTCTTCATTAAACCTCTAGCAAAAAGCAGGCAAATGACTAAAAATCCAACTCCAGCTGCCCCTCCTAAGATGATAGCCACAGTCTTTCCAGTATTTTGCCCTGACCCTACATTGACCAAATGCAAGCCACATTCTGTGTTAATTAATAATTAAGTACTAACAATTTGGACTATTAGGAACAAATCTAGAGGTTCATCTCGAAATTCTAAGCCAGACAAATATCTTTTGTTAAGGCAGTATTTAGCCCATCCCTTATCTCACAGTGCATTGCATTATTTTATACACTTAAAAGGATTAAACTAATCTCAACGAGGGTGACAGCTTACATATACAGATTCTGGTGCATCAAACTACATGAACTGAGGAAGTGAAGTGATTATTAAAAATTCAATCTTTACAACAAACCCACAAAAATAATGTAAAAATTAAGTGCATCAGAAGAGCATAAGAATAGAATGAAATCTTTAGTAATAATACCTGATGAAGAAGGTGTACCTGATGAAGTTTCAGGTGAAAATGAAGATGATGATGATGATGACCTTTTAGGAGCCCCATTGGGATAATAATTATAGCCTATAAAGCACTTGCCAAGAAAGATTTGACCTGAAACAGAGCTTCCACATTCAACTTGAGCTCTTTGAACAGCCGTAGTCACACAACTGTTACAATCAGAGGAGCCCAAATCACCCTCACACTGCCCCAACACATACATTGACTGATAATTGGTGGTGTAGAAGCCATTGCCACTTCCCATGCCATTTTCCAAAGAATTCAAAGCAGTATCCCTAATCTCCTCAAACCCAGCTCCACCAGCATTTTTAGTACTACAAGTCTTGTACAACAATTCCAATCCAGAGATTTCAGGGAACCCTTGGACCTCATAAAGCATATAGCAGCCTAAAAGTTGGATTCTTGCAGCTACAGGCTTACCACAAAGCTTGTCAATTAGTGTAGGTAGCTGGCTCACACAGCTGTAGCAGTCTACATTGGAAAGGTCTCCCCTGCATTGAAAAAGGCCATTAATGGAGTTCTGGCCACTACCAGATGAAGTCTTGTAAAACTTGGCCTTTGAGGACTGTGCAATGAGAGTACCAAAAAGGGTTGAAATTGCTTGTGAATAAACTCCAGTTGGATCTGATAAAGACTGTTTAGCACAGCCCTTGTAGATTAAGGTTGTGTAGTCAGATGCAGATTTAGCTACTAGGATAAGGTGAAGGGCTGAGAAAATGACCAGAAAAAGGGAAAGCAAGTAAAAAGGTCTAATGGGCAATCCCATCTGTGAGTTTTTCATGGGATCAAATCATGGTTTCCCCCCTATATCTCTCTGAAATGCTTTTGGGTGGAAGTTTTTTTGAGGGTTTTGAGAGATGGGTTTTGGCAAAAGAATGCAGAAAAGACTGAACCTTGTAATTGAATACTGGATTTAAGCCATCAGCTCTTTAAAAAAATTGGTCCTTTTTCTTCACTTTTACCCACAAAAAAGGTATTGGTTTTGATGCTATGGTGTTTGGGATTCACTTTTTCTCTTTGGTTGGATGGCCCCAGTTTTTTTCTCACCTATCTATGGAAGAGTTGCAGAATGTAGAGGTGAGTGAGGCTTTGAGACTCAGGAAAAAAGCATCTTTCCAGATTACAAGATGATGTGCACATTGTGGGGAGTTCATAATAGAAATGACCACTCCAAATCACCCCAAAAAAAATAATATTTTTCTAAGGAAATGGTGAATTACTGTTTTTTGGGTAGAGATTAAAAATACCAGCTCATAAAGTGGGGAAGAAAATATTCTTCATGTTGGAGAAGAGGGAGTTACTGTTACAGAGGAGCAAGTGGACAAGAAGCTTTGACCAAAAGATGCATTTGTTGTCTAAACTCTAAAACACATTCATTCATTTGTTCTTATGGATTTTGAAGTTTGCAATAAGGTGTAGTATTAATGTTTGTTTTCATCTGCTGAGAGCATTTATTGAATGTGCAGAATGAGATCTTTGTGATTTCAAGGAGGAATGCAAGAATCAGGTGAGTAGCTTTTAAATATCATCATGTAGTTTATGATTAAGACATTAGAAATAGAATAAAGTAATACTCCATCACCTCAGATTCTCCAAGGTTGTGTTGTTGTTTGGAAGCAAATCCAATCTAGCACACTCTTATTGGTCTGTTTTCTTTTACACTAGGAGATGGAAGTAATTATTTCGTCACAAAATAAAATCATGTTTTGCTAATTGGAGTAACGTCCAATTTTGGACATCCAGCAAAATTTAAATATTAGTATGAAAGGAATTTAAATAGATGTTTGGACTTTCAAAAAAAACTTAAAGTAATATTCCCTCTGTCCCAAAATTATTGTCCAGTTTGAGATTTCACTTTTAGTACAATTTGAACTAAAAATGAAAACCCAAACTGGACAATAATTATGGGACGGAAGGAGTATAATAATTGTTTGCCGAATATTTAGTTGTGATTTGGAAGGAAAGAGTAAGTTTTAATATTTCATTTAGTTGTAAAAGTTACTCAAAATTGTGCTAGCTAAAATAGGCGTCAAAAATAGCCACTTAATAAAATATCATTTTAATTACGAGGTGTCAAAAATAGTCACTCAATAAAATAATCAAATTATTGTCTCAATTTATCAATTTACCAACCTAAAACGCGATCTGTTAATGCTATCACTTTCGTAAATTATGTAAAAGGATTCGAACTCTATAATTATCATGACTTGTCTAGTTGAAGAAACAAATTTTTTTTAGTTGAAGAAACAATTTCTTTCAAACACATAATAATAGTAATAATAATAATAATAATAATAACAACAACAACAACAACAACAACAATAATAATAATAATAACAATAATAATAATCAATGATGAAAATATACAACGTCAAAATTCAGAAATAAGCTAATTTTGGGGGAATCTTTAATGCCAAAACAAAAAATTAGGGGCCAAAACAATTTTTGGCCGTTTCTTTTTATTATAATACCTTTAATGAAAAACATATAAAGTCATGTTCAAGGAGGGTATTGTTGTCAAAAAGTCGCTGCAAATGTCAAATAAAAAAATAAAAAATAAAAAATAAAAGATTCTGTAAAAGAACTTAGGTGGGTAAAAACCATGCATTTCTTTTCTTCTTTTTTTTTTTTTTTTTTTTGTAACTATAAAGATAGACAAATATCTAGATATGTAAATTATAACTGATTGCAGATAAGAGATTATGACTACTTGTATTACTTTCAAAGCATAAATTTGAACATTATAATTGCCGTCTCAAACCAATTCAATGTGTACTTAATGATCAAATTACTATCGCTATTGTTATATAGATGAAAGAAATTTGGATACAATAATTTTGATTGTTAACTGAACTATTGTGTCGTGGGAATACACTCATTAATGTTTTAGCATCTCTCTCCATTTCAAAATATAAGTCGTTTTAGTTTTGAAGAAATATTTCAAATTATAAATCGTTTTAGGATTTCAAGACAAATTAAAGATTAATTTCTCAACTTTACTCCCAATAAATTATGCTAACACTTTTCATCTAGTCTTAATTATACATTTAAAACAATTAATGATGAATAAAATATATATTTAACACATAAATTAATTATTAAATAATTTTTTCTTTAATTTACTTACAGAGTTTAAAATGACTTGCATTTTGAAGGCGTAACAAATACTAACATGAATGTTGAGTTTGAGATTGGGCAAAAAAAATTGGGAAGTTGAATGGGGTACTTGTAAGTGTATGGGAAATTGTAAAGGCATTTAAAAGCTTCGGGAATCTTTTGGTACGGGTTTTGGCATGGAGTAATTTGTTTGTTTGACTACAAAATTTTTGGACCGCTCAATTTCAAGTTTTGTACTCCCTCCGTTCTAAAATAAGTGTCATTTTAACAAAATAGAGAAATTTTAAAATAAGTGTCATTCTCACATTTCAATGTACTTTTTGTCCAAATCTTCCAAAATTATCCTAAAAAAAATTAGTACTATTGGTGGACATTTTTTTAATGGGATTAATTGAGGATATTCAAGTAATTTTATTTTAAGAGTTCCTTAAACTATGTGCAAAGTGTAGGATGATACTTAGTTCGGAATGGGGGGAGTATTACTATAGGAAAAGTCGTGAAGCTATTTCCTTCTTTGTTTCTATCCTCTTGCTTTCTTCCTATGCTATATAAAAAACCGTACCCCCTCCATTCCATTTTAACTAAACAAACTTATGTTTAATCATACGTAGAAATTTTAAAAATATAGATGATATAGTTTAAATAATTAATCTTTCTAATATATTGTTAATGACTACCAGTTATTACTAATTAATTTCGGTGTAACAATAATTAAATTCTGTAAATTTTAAGTGTTAGTAGTGGGATGTATTCGAAAAGTAATACATAAAATAAAAATTTAATGTCTGAAATGAGATTGAGTTTTGAATATCTTGAAAAGGAGTTTTATTTTATTTTTCTAACTATAAAAATTTTAGTGGAATACTAAATCGTAAAATGAATTTTCGAGAAAGACGGTATTGTCATGACTCATGAGTAGAGTATCCAATTGACAGTCTAACCTAATATGTTAAAAAAAAATGTAGTTTACATTGAATTTTGAGATATTTATCTTACAAATTTTAAAATTTAATGTGAAATATATTTCAAAACTCTTATTTTATATCGTGTTTTAACCACAATTTTAGCTAAATCATTCATTTTTTATGAAACGATAATTGTGATAATCATATTACTTATAATAAATATTTACCAATCACTTTTGATGAAACGGTAAATGTGCTAATCACTTTTGATTCATTTATGATCTTCGGTGGTTTTTTTTATTAAGGCAAACCCAAATATTTTGTGCTAATTTTTTTAAAATTTAGAAAAGCTTTTAGCACATTTTATATCTTGAAAATTTTATTTCCAAACGGAAATTAATTTGTGGGCTGCCTGTAACCGCTAGCCCATTTAGTTAGAATCCCAAAGTCTCGGGCTTTTGATCCGTAAGAAATTTTACCCCTCAGCCCATTCACTTAGAAGCCCTAAAAGTATCACACTATTCTGTTTGTTTGTTAATTTGTTTTTCCTCTTTTTTTAACTAGAATTTCAATTGCATAGAATAAAATGAAATTGTTGCATAAAATTTACAAAAAAAAAAAAGACTCATTCTCCCTAACTAAATAATCTAAACTAGCAGTTAGTTTAAAAAAATAAAAAAAAATTAATTAGCAGTTGATTTTGCTATTAACTAAAAGCGAAACTGGGCTTAGAGAACAAAAAAAGGTAAAAATAATTGATTAAAAATGTGAAATCTATTTTTGAATGTATTTGATTTCGAAATAATTCGGCCGTGTACAAAAGTAATACTTATATTATATGACTTCCAACCATACTAATGTAAACATTATATTATGTGATGATGATCAATCTAAAATGATATAGACAAAAGGAAAAACATAAAATTAGAGGAAAATAGAAATCTGTTGACACAAGATAACTCTTGGTCAGTAAAGCCCGCAAGGCAGTACTAATTAATAATCAACGACATCAATTTCTTGCATTGATAGTCTAAATCTAGTATTGAAAAGAAATAATAATGTGCTGTTATAATTTGTTTTTTCTTTTTTATAAAAAACAAACACTCAAGATAGTCTTATCTAACCAAACTAATTAACAAACAAACTAGTTTTGTGTGCGTGTGTGTTTGTGTTTTTCATTTACTTAAAATACAAAATACCCCTATTAATTGTCTACACAATTCATCACAAACTAATAGAAATTCATTATAAATATTATTTCATTTACAATGCAAGGACAATTTTGATAAAAAGTGGTCAAATATGCCTTGATTTGTGAAAACGACATATATTTTAAAAAAATTCAGCAAACCCTAAAATGATATATATTTCGAAATTGAAGGAGTAACTTTTTTCAGTCATTTTTAAAGTTTAAAGCAAGTGAACTTGTGGAAATATTTTTCGACGTATTTTATATATGTATTACTAATAATCTTATTTTTGGGGTCCAATAGGAATATACTTTCCCTCTGTAATAATTGGACGCCTCCTCCCTCCTGAATTTTTGGGTCGGTGACTTCGTGTAATATCACAAGTTTGTCCACTCGTCTTCGTCTCCATTTCACATCCAAAAACCTTAAACAAATCAAGAAGCATCCCACAACAAGAAATTGTACAAATTCCACACTTTCTTTTTTTTACAAAATAAAAATAATAAAGAAGAAATTTGGTAATGAATAAAACAAGTTAGGAGCTTTCCTTCTCCTGATGTGTTTGCCAAACTTATTACTGAAAAAGAGATTCTCTTTGATCTGATAAAGCCAACCCATTTTTTTTATTTTGCTTTGACAATTGTTTAGAGCTTATCTGCAGCTTGGGGGAAAAAAAAAAAAAACCTTAATAAAAGTAGTTATGCACGCTTTGAAAGACACCATTTCTGATAAGCTTTCTCAGCTTTTTTCTGATTCCCCTTCTCAGAACTCAGATCAGCAGCTTCAGGTACTCTTCTCTCCATTACAATCTCAAGATTTCATTTTTATGTGTGTTAGATAGTGTTGTTTGCAGACAGAGAGATGGTTGTGACTTGTGGTTTAGGTGCAAAAACATGATTTTTATTTTTTTTTCAAATTTAATTTTGTGGGATTGTCAGTTTGTGATCTGTGATATTGATTAATTGTGTTAATTGAGAACGACCCTTTGTTTGATTCCTGCTTGATCTTTGTGTTTCTAAGCAATGTGATTGATTAATCATTTGATTTTGATGAATTTTGTGTTTTAGAAGGTGATTAGTTCTTGTTGCTAGTGACTTCCTTAGTTGACAATGTTGCTTTTTCTACCAAGTAAATTGGGTCAAGCTGGGGAGATTTGGTTAGCAGACTAACAAGTGTATATGCATACTGCATAAATTCGAAGAAAAAAAGAGATAAATCACTGTTGAATTTAACTTTAACCTCATAAGAATGTAGAATGCGAAACTTTGGCTTTCAAATCCTCCGGGAACTAAGAACGAGATTTATCAAAGTGAAAGGTCTAAATTTCAAACCTTTGTGTTTCAGATCACCTACTACAAGATCACTGATCTGATTTTGTTTCTCTCAGTTGTAAATGATATTTATTTTTGTTGAGATTCTGCGAACTGTAATTTGGAAATAGAAAGTAATCAGTCCACTGAAACTGCAATGTTATAACTTTACCCCTTGACGTAACATCTGTTTGTTTGGCTGAAATATAAGGAGATAATTTAATCAACCTTTTATCTTTATGTAGTTCTTGCAGTATTCTTTGTTTGTCCATTCACATTATAAGGCAATTTATGAATGGAGTTATGTGACACTGGGTCTGTAATGTATCTAGGTCAGACCATCTATGAAGGAAAGAAAATCTTGGTCTTCATTGTTACCCTTTGGTCTCCCTTCAGTGAGTTTTGAATGGTTCAAATCAAGCAATCATCAAAATGATGCCAAATTGCAGCAGTCAGATTCTTTTAGTTGGAGAAGCAAGAGTTTCTCTTTGAAAGATATACCTCTGGATAGGCACATAGAATCTAGCAATGGGCATGAAAGTCATGGGGGTTATAGTGTGCATCATAATAATGAGTGTGGTGGATCTATCAGCAGAGTGGTGTGTCAAAAGAAGGAACTGATAAATGCCGATGCTGATAATGGAGATCCTGGCTCTGCGAGGAGAACTGGTGATGGTTCTGATATCTTTGAAGATGCTAGAGATGCAAATGGTTCTGGGAGGTTGTTGCCCAATCTGACAGATGACTCCCTTTTCGTATCTCCTGACCTGTACGAATTTTTTGAATCATCCCTTCCCAATATAGTGAAAGGATGTCAATGGGTCTTGTTGTACAGGTAATTGTTCGAAAAAGTGTTCATTCATTTGATCTTCTCATGTTTATGCAACACCATGTTTATTTTGCTATATTGATTTTGATGAAGGGCAGTACTGCTAGACATGGTATATCATTGCGTACACTTATCAGGAAGAGCTCTGATCTTTCTGGTCCTTGTTTACTGGTATGTTCAAGGTTATTTCAATAGCAGCTCGTAGGCATAGGTTCTTCATTTTTTTTTCCCCTTTGCTAGCTAACCACTCGTTATTTCATCGCCTACGATTACTATTCAAAACCTTGTATTTTGTCACAGATTACTGGTGACAAGCAAGGTGCTATATTTGGTGGGTTGCTTGAATGCCCCCTGAAACCAACTGCAAAGAGAAAGTATCAAGTGAGTTCATTAAATCATTTGCTATACTCATTTTACAGGCTAATAAGAAACTTGAAACCCTTCTTATTTATAGTCACCCAATTATTTGTTATCTTCCAGGGAACGAATCAGTCCTTTGTATTTACCACCTTATATGGTGAACCGAGGTTATTCAGACCAACTGGTATGAAAACAATCTTTTATCATTGCAAAATTACCATAAGAATTCCCTTTGGGAAATCCTCTTTTTAGTCCCCTTTTAAGATGATTTTTTAGCATAATAAGAGGTATTCATCAGGATTTTAAATATACATGTCTACAGCTGCACCCCTACTTACAAACAGATGCATGCTTATAGATACGCTAGGCATGAGTATCAACGTTTAAAAGTAGCCTTTGTTTATTGCCTTGGTTTGTTGTACACTACTTCAGGATATAAATTGATTTTTCAAACTCCTAATCAACTTAGCATTAACTATCTTAAAGATTACATTGATACGCTCAATGCATCTTAATTTCTAACACGTTAGTGAAGTGAAACTGGACATTTTTTATATCTTTCATAGGGCAGGACTTGGAATTATGAGAACTTAGGACGAGTGAGCTAATTCTAAGGCCTGATTTTGCTAGGTGTGAATAGATACTTTTACTTGTGCTTGAACGACTTACTGGCACTAGGAGGGGGAGGCAATTTTGCTTTATGCCTGGATGGAGAACTGTAAGCTGCTTATTTCCGCCCTCGTCATCTTTTTTATTTGAAAATGGCAACGTTTTCCGAAGTTTAAGTTTCTTTCTGGACAGGTTAAGTGGTAGCAGTGGACCTTGTGAAACCTATGGGAACTTGGGCTTGGCACATGATCCGGAGTTCGATTTGAAGCATGTTGAGGTACTTACTCAGTTTGGGTTGGAGTTTACTGTGCTTGAAATTTCTTGAAGATAGGCTGGTGATATTCTTCCTTTCTAAAAAGAATGGGTTTGGGTTTATTTAGCGAGTCCTTTCCACCCCTTTACTAATTCTAATTCTTGAATTCTAGTGAGTTTTGGATCTCTTTGCCTTAATACTGATATAAAGCCATAGTAAATGTTGAACAAAGTGTCAGTTCAGACTGCTGTTTCGCTGAGTCAAATAAAAACTTTCTACATCCTTCTTGGTTTCTAACAAATCAGCAGACTATTAAGAGATTATATGAAAGAATTTACATGCCTTTTAGATAGTAGCTAAATTGATACAGTTCCTGGTAGAAGCATTTGAAGGGCAGTTCTTGGGCCAAATATTGCACTATTTGATGTGTCTTTTGTCCTGTATTTGTTCATTACTATTACTCCCTAGTTCATGAGGAGTGATGAGTAAAGAAGTGTATACATTCTAGCTAAGTTCAAATAATTTGTGCTAGAGCCTTTTTACTTCGTGATAGTTGAGCACAGCTGCAATTGAAGGTAGAACTTTCTTAAGCTACAATAAGATCTGCGATGTCTTAATGGGCGTAGATAAACATACATGAAAAAGATGATGGTCGCAGAAATAAGAATGTTTTTGAATGAATATGTGGTCACACAACGTTAATAAATTAAGACGCTAATTGATTCGAAAAGATGTGTTGTTCCAATACATGATAAATGAGACAAATAGGCTTATGATGGTTTGAACTGGTGCATATACAGAGTGGAAGACAAATATCAATAGTTCTGAATTTCTGATGGATACATGAATTCATTTATCTAAGCTCAAAGCAAAACAAGAGTGTAGGTCCTTTTTTTGGTTCATTACTTCCAAGTTATTCTCATATATCTTTTCTCTGCTTTTATGCAGCTATGGGGTTTTACGCACGCATCTCCGTATCTTTAGTACAAGATGTCAACTTCACTTCTAGATTGGTTGCGATGGAAATTCTTTATTCTTTGATGCGCAAAGCTCCTCTATTTGGGAGTGGCAGCTCTATAATGTACAGATAGTTTCATGATTGATTGCGTGCAAGGCAGGCATTTTTCAAATTTGTATACCTTGTGCTGGCTAGTATAGTAGCGTAGATTTCATTCTTAGCAATTATTAAGGATTTCCACATTGCAGCTCCTTATGATTATCTGGAGCTTTCAAGACATGAATCATTCTTAAGTTAGTGGAATACTTTCATCTTCCCGTCACTAGTGAAGTGCTTGTTGAATATTATCAATTTCCATCCTTTTTGACAGTGTGATAGGTTGTTCACGTTTACCAGAGTTATATGATAACTTGAATGCTGGCTAATTTTTCCATGGTAAGCACTTTCCTTTAAGCAGTATACAACTCAAGACTGGACTGAAGTGTAAAACATAATGTTTTGGTAATACAAGGTAAACTTCCCTCCATTGACACAGGATTGCCGCACACATGTCCATGAAAACTCGCTGTAAAGTCTTTACTGAACTACACATTGATAACCTCAAACAGATAATGATAAAATCTTGAATGCTTGTGAATAGTGAATAATATTCATCAGAGAACACTTGATAACATTTCATTGAAAGTTTCAATGCAATTTTTCTATCTAAAGAGAGAATTAGGAATCAATTATCAATGTACCTCACAAGCAGATGGGGACAAGAACCAGAACGTGAATAAAACCAATATTCTAGGCACCGAATCCTAGTATTTCCTATCCAAACCACCTGATAATATATATATCTAATGATACAAAACATTTATGAAAACTCCACTTTCATTACATGATTGTGATCTAGGCCTTAAAAGTATCACCAACTAGTCAACATACTTCCCACCACCATCCCCAAGTAATCTAGAAAAGCCGAACTACAACTTGTATTGGCTTCAACATCAACTTTTTTAACACATGAGCAGCTCATGCTAAAAAGCAATAGGTGAAGCCACTGGGAGTTGCATAAAGAGGCCACGCACTGCACAAAGCTGATAAGAACTCAAGGCTCAGAAGAATCCTTCTCCGCAGGCAGCCCGAATATTCTTAGGTTTCTGTCCATTGATCCAACAGCTATGTACTTGGCATCAGGCCCAAATTTAACGCAGTTTATCTTATCTGCATTGAACAAAATGCTTTGGCATTAACATTTGACTATTAAAAAACTGCACCAGAGAAGATTTCAAAGAAAGAGAGAACCCACCAGTCCCAGACAAATCTGGGAATGTTTTGATGCAATTCCAGTCAGATTTCACACTGGCAGTTTGGTATACTCTGTCATAGAAACAGGGGGGGAAAAAAGAAAAAAATAAGCAATTAACAACGGACCAAAAACTAACAAGTGCCATAATCCCTTTTGACCTCTATAGAAGATAAAATGAAAATAAATCGACTCTGGAACTACAAAAGATTAGGGGAAAGGAAATAAATGCAGATCTTAGAGCAATTATCTTTGATTAAAGTTGGACCTTATATCCGCGCCTCCAAAGGCAAGGTAGCTTCCACTGTGGTCAAATTCCACTGGAACAAACGAAGCAAAGAAAAGTCATTCCCAAAACATAAAATGAGTGAAGATCAAGAAGCGACTAAATATCAATGCAAATTCAAATATCGAGATTCTTTAAAGGGCAACATTCCCCTTTAAAGATTCACATCCTAGGGGAAAGTCAGAAGTGACTCTGCCACAAAAGTCATCATTAAGTACTAAAACCCAAAAATGTCATTTTCTCACAAGGGCTAGGTACAAATTTTGCAAACAGCGATTGATAGCACCTAAGAACAGGATACCAAAGTTTACTGATTCCCGATAAACGATAACAAAATGCTGAATCATACCTGACTGTGTCGAGGATTCTCCATCATAAGGGGAAAAGCTTCGGAAATTTTTCAATTTACGAAGATCATAAAGTCTTACACCATCAGAAGAAGCAGCCTGCCAAATTTGACACCAAATATGAAGACCAAGGGAAGCTATAAGCATAAACGAGTGGTGACCATCTACTTCTACAAGTAAACATACCGCCAAGAAGTAACCATTTTCTGAGAACGAAATCGCTGTAACTGGCCCAGTAGGATCTTCAAATTTGGCAACATTTGTCTGCCAAAAAAAATATTAACTTTATTCTCCAACTTTAATATATGCCATGGTGCAATATTACTGAATCTGGAGAAAGAGACAAGGAGTTAAAATTGACAAACCTGACTTTTAACATCCCAGATCTTAATTTGAGCACTAGTAGTGCCAGTTCCAAGGATGAGACCATCAGGATGAAAGGCAGCAGCAGTATAGCCATCCGCTTCCGAAGAATCTGAAACCTGCCAACGGGAAGTTAGAAACCGAGATCCTAAACTTGCAGCGTTACTTTCAAACAATTTATGTAGGTGAACATGCGTATCTCTGATAAACTAGTTACAAACATTTCGTGTGTGTGTGTGTGTGTGTGTGTGTGTGAGAGAGAGAGAGAGAGAGAGAGGAGGGGAGAAACCTGAGCGAGGCATAGACCAGAAGAAAGATCATAAAAGCACCATGTGTTGTCGAGTGATGCCGTCACAAAGTATTTGTTGGTTGCATGAACAGTAACTGCTCGCACCTGCAAAATTGATCACACTAAGCATTCACTGCCAGAAACTCACAAAGACTAAGGGCTGAATACTTGTTGGTTTACGAAAATTGTAAAGCCCAAAATGACCAACATAAACATGACCGGATCTAACACTATCACAAGCATTAGGTGAATATTTAATGGAACACAAATCAACATATACTACTTCTTTATTGCAGAAAACAATATATCTAGAACATGACATGTAAACCCAGTTTGCAACTGTCGACATTCAATATTTCCAGCAAGAGCTGGAACATGTTCAAAGTAATAAGTATTCAAACCAAAAAAACCCCGAAAAAGCAATGATAAAGATTCAATGCAATTATTACTAGCAAAACACCCAAGAAACAAGAGAACTAGACTATAATGACAATTTAGCAACACATGAACAAGAGAAAGTACAATTCTCCAAGCACTAGCCTAAAGAGATCCAATCCTTTAGGAAATCAATCCAAAACAATAAACAAATGCCGGCAGAGAACACAATGAACATGCCACTATAAAAAAACAACTGAGAAATCTTCTGAACAAAGAAGCACCTCGGCAGTATGATCCTTCAAGATGTGCCTACAGTCGTAGTTTTCGCTTTCTGATCTTTGCCACAACCGAACAGTCTGAAACAAAAGAGAGAACTCAATCCTCAGGCTAACAAATAATAAGAAAGTTAAAGTTCTCATGACATTGTGCACTTAGATACAAAGTAGGACGTGATCCATTAATAGATAATATCCGTAAGCATCCAAGCAACAAAGTCCAACATACGAGCACCACACTCTACCAAAGAAGTTGCATACTTCCTCCCCCAAGAAGACCACCCCCAAAAAAAAAAACACCAAAAAAAAAACCCCCCAAAAAAAAAGAAAAATAAATAGATGAATCCTTGTCCTACATGAGCTACAACTTCAATTTGAACTCAACGCTTTGCATCAGGAACTTTCAGCAAGTATATATTAGAAGTTGTCGATTGATACTAAAAGCTATTAAAAGATTATACCAGCAGCAAAAGCCTGATCTACACAATCTAATCGATTTAGGGAATTATAAAATCCACATATGCTAAAAGAAGAAGTCAAATGCCCACACAGATAATAGCACCTCACATTGGGTTAAAAGAATTATTTACTCAACAAAGCCAAGGTAAAATGTCGAAAAAAAAAGAACACTCACACTGGTTTTCAGTTCAAGAGAGCTACAATCAATTCCTTTTGATCAATCAAGTGAGGTCCACTGACGGAGAGTAAAATTCAGTATAACTAGCATAAAACCAAATTGTTTACCTTATCAGCTGATCCAGTAAGTACTACATCCCCTTCAGCGTCAAACTTTACAGTGGTTACCTGAAAAAGGAAACAAGGGAAACGAATTTAAAAACCTACTTAGTTTTGATAAGAAAAAGTAATGGACAAGGATCAAGGAAGATCATTGATAACCTTCTTTGAATGACCACTGAGAGTAGATAAAATCGCTTCAGAACGCCGATCAAACACCACAGCGTTTGTATCTACTCCACCAGTTGCTATGATATCCTATTAGCCAAACAAGCTACAGCATAAGGGTTTGCAAACAAGACTAAACGGAGTAAATAAACAAAACCAAGTAAATAAACTCAGTTACCAAACATGCCAAATTATCTCCAGCCAACACTAGGACATTAGGAGCTTTTCAAGATACTTTAAGTTGCAGAAATAGGATACAGTTTCTACCAGGCAATCTACAATAATTTTCTGACAGTAATTGCATCCAGAAGAAAATGCATGGCCTTTCAATTCATACCAGGAGGCTGGAATATAAGAATAAATAATATAATCATATGGCAAAAAAAGAGAAGTCTCAGCTTCCAAGTTCTCAAGTGAAAATCATGCATTCAATTTTCAATTTCACATCCAGAACATAGTAAAATAAAAAAGACAATCATGTTCTGAAGTTTGACCCAAGCAATACTAGCCAAAAAGATCCCTTTAGAATATACAACAAAGCCCTTGTAATACTGTGCATATCACATCTCATGTTTTACCAGAACAGATGTCCTCATTACTAATGCCTTTTTGAGTTTCTTTCCTAGTGTTTTTAGGGTATTCCCCTTAACCTTGTAGTTCGAGTTAACAGTTCTCTACTTTCATCTGGTATAACTATACCCACTTAAGATGCTGAATTTTCATCCACAAGGCCTGTCCTTTACATTTTCTCTATCTAGACATGTTAGCATTATCATTCTCCCAGTCCTCAACTATTTGCTCTTGCTAATAATTAGCCCCTTAACCTTCTGGTCCAAAAACACAAACACAAGTGGCTTCAAAAGATTGAACACCACAACCTAATATGTCTACCCACTTTCGGTTGACAAAAATCTATAAACTATTATACAGTCAACAAAACCCTGCTTCGACCGGTAATTCAAAAGAAGTTTATATTTTTTTGTATCGCACCCCTAGCTGTGTATCTTTGACAGTAGAAAAATGATAGCCGTGGTTGTAGTATTTTGAGCTAGGACTCAAATTATGTATGTTTGTTAACCAAAAAAACCAAAAAAAAAAAAAAAGGAGTAAAATATAAAATCAAAGAGTGACCCAACCTTCAGAGGCATACCTTTTTATAGTGCACATCCAATGATAATATCCCAGGCTTATTGGTCTTGTGGAGAGGTTGACTACTGAGCTGTGTGTACCTTTCCAAAGCATCAACAGGAGCCAATGTTGGGGGTATCTAAAGGCAAACCAAAAAAGCCACCAGTACAAGTTGTAGAGTCAACAAATCACCCTATAAATTTATTATCTGAAAAAGCCAAAAGGAAAACAAGTAAATATAGCTTGAGAAATTGCAGATACCTGTCTTTTTTTCCTTTGATGAGAAAGTTCTGCATTACAATCAGTAAGCTCCGAAATGACATTGGACGAGATTCCTGGTCGAATCCTTTTCCCATCGGGACCTATATCATCCTCCTCAGCAGCTGTCAACACAAAATAAGGCAGATGTTGTAGATCACCACCAAAAGATTTTCCGCATAAGTAAAGATGAATATAGCACCACATGGTTAGAACCTCTTTTTCCGTTGCTCAAAGCAACAGAGCTAACTTCTTTAGTAGCTCCTATGGCTATTGATGCAGGAATTTGTCTTTCAGCTTGTGCTAATAATCCTCTTGCTTCATCCCTTTCTTTTTTCAACCTTGCAATGACACGGCATGCTGCATCATGCTGGAAGGGAATTGAAAAATCAAGAAATGTATAAGAATCAACAACTAAAATCACTACTGCAATAATAATGGCAATGGCCTAAAACAGCTATACTCATAACAAGAGTATATCACATTGGGTACTTGTACCAAAAAATTTCAATAACAAATTGAAGCAGCTCGTAGGGTGAAAATTGTCGATATAAAACTTCCTCATCCAAATTAAAGTTGATAGAAATCTATTACTCGCCAGCTGGAAGCGAAAATAAATGTCAACAAAACAAATCCCCGTGAATTACCTGGTACAAAGCATGACTTAGCTCTTGCCTTGCGGTATGCAACTGTTGCTCCAGAGCAAAATTTGATAGCATCAGACCATCCCATTCCTAAATCAAGGGACCAAAATTAACTAGTATCATAATGGGTACGCCAAAGGAGATAAATATTTGAAGTATAGCAAAATATCAGTACCAACATCAACCATGAGCTAACGATATTGACAACCAGTAGCTTCAATAATTATGGCATCATCAACAAATCAAATTTCAACCAAACAGAAGTGAACTAAAAAATAATAATATTTCCCAATACTAGAAGCATAGCATTAGAGAGAGTTGCTTTCAACAATAACGATAGCATACACCCTGTAACGATAGGTGAAAAGGAAGACATATGAAAGTAAATCATACACACAAAATACCAAGCTTTTACAATAACATGCAAATTTGTTCCCATATGCAAGCAATTTGAAAGGCAAATATATTTTTTCTAAAAGGCTATTCAGCACGGAAAGCAATGAAGAATAGATGGTTCAGGAACAGGAATACATACAATTTGAAACATCCCAAGCATTCCCGGAATACTTGCAGCTTGAACTGGACGAGGCTTCACAATCTGCATACCATTTCAGCCCAAAAAAAAAGTAAGGATTTCAAACCAAATAACTGATTTCAAAACTGTCATAGGAAGAACAAGAGATCATACTGCCAGATGTAACAGAGAAAATATACCTTCCCGGTTTTAATTGGAACAATGTCATCCATTGTTAAAGGCTCCCCAGTTACTGGGCATTTTCCATAGTCCTATAACAGAGTAGATGAAAAGAAGATATATCAGAGGCTGGGAAGAGAAGAGGAAAGGAGAAAGCCGGGGTGGGTGGGGCGGGGTTGGCTGGATGGGGGAGAAAGGGAAGACAATGAAGCATTTTCACTAAGGGAAAAGACCATGAACAAGTGTCAGGAGAAAGAGAAGGGGCAGAGAAAGGGAAACTAAACATGCCAATTCAAATTTCAAGGTAAAATATAATTCAACTAAAAAGAAACTGCAAACAAACACAAAAACTAATTTCTGGAACCACAACAAGTGTCGGGAGAGGGATTCTGGGTTGCAGGAAAAGATGCTACTTGTGCAGTGCAACTTAGCCCCCCCTACAAAAAATTGCTTCAATACAAGGATCCAAATGCAGAACACTAAATCTTAAAAAAAAAATCAGCTACAGATAGACTTTCTTGTTGTCTGAGCTCTTTCCAATATTTTCCAAGATAATGAGGTTCACAAATTTTGTCACTCCACATTGTTACTCTCAGCAGCATTCAATTTCTTTTAAACATGATAATTATCAAGTTCACAAAGAATCTTTCCCATCTCTCTCAAACGAGCTATAAACAGTTACCCACTTCCCCACTCCAGTTAAACAGCATAACACATGAAAATCAGACTAAAAGAGATTATGAAACCATCACATTCTAAATAATAGGTGTTATTTTAACTTTAACTATCGATACCTTGTGAAAAAACTAAGGGTAAAGGTGGTTCCGATACATTCAAGCAGATAAACCCTAGAATAAATTAAAGAACCGAACACAAATTACAAGTTGAAGAGTAAGGGAACAAAAACGCACAGCGATGTGGCGCTCAATCAACCGCTTCTCAAAGAGGAGTCCGGACTTAGTTGAAACCACAGGCTCCTCCGGCACTTCGCCGGAAACTGCAAGAACAAACATAAATCCGCCATTAGAAGTGAAAACAGAAGCAATAACAATAAAACCTCGAGCGAACAAATAGATTCGGAGGGAGAACTAGTACTTGAGCAGTTCATGGTGATGGAAGATTGAGATGAACGGAATTTGCCGGGGCTACTACGCGGCGATTGGAAGACGGGGGAGCTGCAGAGTGAGGACTGAGGAAGAAGAAGGCCGAATTTCTTTTGCGAGGAGGGTTTTGGCGAGATATTGGGTCGAAAACCCGGTTTAAGATTCACACAGTGTTTGGACTTTGGACCGACTTGGTTTGGAATTAAACTTTTCTTCGTAAAGCTGTAATTTCAGATGTTATTATACTTGACCAAAAAGTTAAATTTATTTTCAAAAAATATTTATATATTTAACAAATTCAATCATTACTTCATCTTTTTTTAAAATTATATACTCCTCATGTCCTAAGATGATTGTTCACTTTGAGATCTATAGTATATTTCTATCTCTATATACTACTAGTGATGTCTGGTCGCGCAATGCCCGACCCTGGCCAATATATCTGTAGATATTAGAAATATTTGTATCTGGAAAAAAATTATGTTGTATTTGGGCCGATATATTTTACAAATGTTTGAGAAATTTAGAAATGTTTTGTAAGTGTGATCATAGAAATGTTTGTATTTGGCATAAAAAGAAATTGTATTTGGCCCGATACGTTTTAGAAATGTTTGAAGATTTTAAAAATATTTTAATAGTGTTACTTCTTAAATATAAATAAACTTGATCAAATATGTGTCTTGAAGTAAATGCAAGACAAAATATAAAAGCATCCTAATAAGTTTAAATATTAGTAAGATAATTTATTGATGTTCTCCATTGGTTGTGCCAAATTAATACTTAGTTTTGGAGATTTATAATAGCTTTGTAGTAAGCTTCCTCCAAAGGGTATACGCTTAATTGTTGAAACTATTTCTTCTAAAAGTTTATAGGTAGTAGAATATCAAAAATATGATTTTGAAACTGGTTAATTGTTGAAACTGGTTGATCACAAATATGAGAATGAAAATAATGTAAATTTACATAGGTTTCAAATTATAGCAAAAAAAAACTCACCTCACCATGGTAAATTAAAAAAAAAAAGTAAAAGATAGCCCATTAAAAATTGAGAAATTTTTTTTTTGTAGGTAAAAATGATGTATAAAAACACAAAAACGTAAAAACATCATTCCTTCCCTCTCCATCTCAAATTCATAAATAGCTTCCCCATAAATTAGTTAGAAGAAGCGACCTGAACTATTTATATGATGAGGAACTAAAAAAAGTCCAAAAACCAAATCTAAAAAAGTATATTCTTGAAAGTCTGAACACAAAAAAAAAAGCACTTCATTTGTAAATAAAATAAAATAATAATAATAATAATTGGTCAATTGGGAGTATGAAACAAAATCAAAAGCAATTAAACAAAGAAAAAATACACTTCATAACTGACCATATACGAAAAAAAAACCTGAGACACCATAATTAAAAAAAATAAAACCAGTCTAATTAAATGAAACATAAAAATTAAATTTAAAAACTACACTTTGTAACAAAAACCCAATGAATCAATTCAATCCAAACAGAACTAAAATCATACAAAAGTTCTAGGCTAACTAACCATATAAGAAATCATATCATATTACCTGAAAACGACTACGACAGCTGTAACGGATGGACGCATAAGAATAATAGTAATAACACTATACTTGAACGAGAAAAACAAAAAATAATAAAAGTCAAATAAATGATCTGTGGAAATAAAATCATTTAAATTTTAATACCTGTAATGGCACCACCACAATGACCGAAGCAAGATCAATGAGAAATTTTTTTTTCATTTGTGTTTATATAGAGAGGTAAAGAGAATATTTTTTGAACTCGAAATTTCATCAGATTAGGACGTAGTTGATCATCACTAATGAAAAGATTAAACATGCTAATAAGTAAGGAATATATTTCACCACATATTCTCAATTGATGATTGATGAGGAATTTGTTTTTTTTTTATTGTGAAGAAGGGATTGATTAGGGAATCGATTGTCGTGGAGATGGGGATGAAGATTTTGACTTTTTATGAACCCGTGATTTTTTTTTTTTGTTTTGGCGAAAATAGGAGGTGAAGATGGATTTGGACTGCATTTGCCTTTTAAGTCAGGAGATGTGTAAATAAAAATTTATTTTAAAAATATGATGTGGAAATGCCACATGGCAAATGGTGGTGTTTTCTCTTAAACGTGGTTTTTGTTTTTAATATAGTAAGATATCTTTATATATCATTATCATTATATCATTATATATATTAAAGAAAAGAAATATAATCGACACGTGTCGCTCATTGAGACCATCAAATCTTAATTAACACGTGTTATTTGCTAATTGGTTGATAATTATTCAGTTAAAATTTTTTGTAAACAGTTAATAAATTATTTACCACTCTCTCCGTCCCACAAAAATAATCCAATTTAATAAAAAAATCTTATCCTAAAAAAATAGTCCAGTTTAAGAAAAGTCAAAATTCATTGAATTGAAATGACTTAAATATCCAAAAGAGTAGTGGTATGAAAAACAATGTCCACTTCCTTTGATTTTCATTTTTTTTAGTTTTCTCTTATTTTTTCAAATGATTATATTTTTTAATACATGAATAATAAAAAAATGTGTTATACATCAAATTAATCTACGTAACGAGATCTTTCCATCAAGATCCATGGTCAATATTTTTTGAGATAAAAATTTTGATCAAATTTAAGTTGTAAAAGAAATGCATATATAGTTAACTTTTATAGAAATAACTAGAAGTTGCATTAGTGGAAGTTAGGGGAATGAAATAAGTTGTACATTTGGTGTGTTGACCAAATTAAAAAAGTTGTACAGTTTCAAACTGGACTATTTTGTGAGACGGAGGGGAGTATATAAGATTTTTACAGATATTACAAATTCCTGATTGTGAGCTTGAAAATGAATATTTTTGAAAATTGCTGAGAAACTCCCGACTTTAAAAGTCCTTTCATTTACGAGTTTAAACTTTCAATCTATTGTCATTTTGGCCCTTAAAGTTCCATTTGTGTGCTATTTAGTTTTCAAGTTTATCGATTTTACATTTCCAAGGATGATTAATTGTGTCTCATATTTTATTAGAACTACATCTAATCCCCAAAGTCTACTTGCCTATAAAAATAGGCCATATGCATCTAGACATAATTTACGCATTTTTTAAATATATTTTTTAAACCAAACATAACATTAGTTAGTGGTGACAATTTTTATTATACAACTTTTAAAAATCTTTTTTGTAATATTTTTTACCAGATCTTACAAATATACCTCTCATAAATAATGTCAATACCTCTCATTTTGATCTAAAACTGATTAATCAAAAAGGTATTACAGTTTTAAGAAATATTATTAACTACATTATTTTTAAGAGAATAAGGACGGTATATTTGTAACAAAATTATCTAATCAATTCTTTTGAAATATAAATTTTCAACATTGACAAAGCCACGCAAAGCGCAGGACACACACTAGTTCAAGATGATAGTATAAACTAGTATATTATAAAGGACAGTTTTCAATCAAAATTAGATACATTAATCCACGTGGTAAAAAATTAGAGAGTCAAGTCCACATGTCGCAACCACATCGCTCCATCATTTAATGGTAATTTTTTAATGTAAAATAGTAAAAAAAAAAAGAGAGAGAGACTAAACTAACTTAAAAAACAAAAAGGGAAAAACATACTTCATCAACAAAAAAACCACGGCTGCCATAGGGTATAGCTTACCAAAATTAAATTTATGATTTCTTTAATTCCGAAATTGACATGAAAATGAGTCATCTTAGTTATAAAGAGAAACAAGATTTTCTTTTATTTTCAAGCCACAAGTAAGCAATAAAATTGCTAGAAGAACTGTTCTACTTTATGTCAAATCTTAAAATTCTAGAATTTGTTTAGCTTAATTAAGATTCTAGCTCAATTGATGAAAGACTTTGGCAATTCGTTCTTTCAAACTGGACGTCAAATGATATAAATTAGAATATTGAATGAATCGGTTGTTTCAATTCAAAAATCAAACAACCACTAACGGGAAAGAGCAAGTCCTTGATCTTATGAGGGCAATTTTTAAAAGAAAATTTATTTTTACTTTGGATAAAAATAGTTCCGACAATCGTTACCTATATTAATTTCATAAAAAATAGCATATATTATTAGTGGTGCCTCGTTTTTGTTGTTTAAATATATGAACACTACGTTGATTAAAATACACTTCCCAAAAACTTTTTCTCTTATTTTTGATGGCTGATAGAACAAAAAAAAAAGTTAAAAAGAAACAACGGTCATAATTAGAAAAACCAATTCACGGATCAATATTGATTTTTATAATTAATTATATGGTAAAGTACAATTATTAATTAAATTCCCTTTTTATTGGTTAGTGTATTAGTTTTTATTTCAGTTGGTGGTGTTGTGATTGTAAGTTTTTTTATGGTAATATTTTTTTTACTCCTTAACATTCAATACTAATAAATGATTACATTGTGTCAAAATTATAAGAGAAAATATGTAAAATAATAATAATAATAACAATAATAATAATAATATGATTATATATTAATCTGCTAAATTTTAATAATATAATAATACATTATATTATATATAATATATTATTAAATTAATATAATAATATACAATATTCATTGTATTTTTTTCATATGATATAATAGTTAAAAAAGTTGATGTTATGAGATAAAACAAAATGTAGAGGTGAACATGAAGAAAGTTTTCCAAAATAAAAATAAAAAAAAGAATAAAAGCTTTTATGACAGACAAACGATAGAAGAAAAGCATGTGAGAAATTAATAAAAATAATTATATGAAAAAAATATGTAGAGAATAAAAAAATACAAAAAAATAAATTGAGATAATAGTGAAAATTAAACATTTTTTATAGTTTTAAGAAATGAACCTTTAAAGAAAAGTAATCAAA